TTTCGTTAGCTGATGCCTTATGGCTTTCGCTCAGCCAAAAATAGTCGTAAAAATTCATGACCAGTGACGTCGCACACTCAAGTGACTCGGCAGAGCCATCATTTAACGCACCAATACTTTACAGGTACGAAAGGCAAAGATGGAACATGACCTGTTACGCCTCATGTTAAGTCAAACACCATTGGCATCACGTCGTCAACTGATGCATTTTTCCCTATAGAGGGTTCCAAGGAGCCAGAAAAAACTCATGACCAGTAACGTTACACACCCAGGAGACTCGACAGAGCCTTCATTCAGCACGTCAGTACTTGTAATAGACGGATACGAAAGGTAAAGATAGAACATGGCCTGTCGCGCCTGATGTTAAGTCGGACATCAGTGACGTCATATCGTCAGCTGATACATTATACCGTTTGGGGGTACAAAAGGTCCCGTAAAAAGCTCTTGACCAGTGACGTTACTTACTCAGGAGACTCGACAGAGCCTTCATTCAGCACGCCAATACTTCCAAGAGACAGGTACGAAAGGTAGAGATGGAACATGGCCTGTCGCGCCTGGAGTATAGTCGAATACCCAGTGACGTCATATCGTCAGCTGATGCTTGATGTCCTTCGGTCAGCCAGAGTAAAACCCGCGTAAACTCATGACTAGTTACACCACACGCTCAGGTAATTCGGCAGAGCCCCTATGTGTCGCGCGAATACTTCAGTAGATAGGTGCGAAAGGTACAGACGAAACATGGCTTAGATAGAGCATGGCCTGTTGCGCATGATGTCTAGTCGAGACCTAGTGTCATCATATCGTCAGCTGATGCTTTGTGGCCTATAGTAGGTTCAGAAGAGTATACAAATTAATGGTCAGTGACGTACACACTCAGGTAATTTGGCAGAGCCTTCCACGGCAATGCTTGCAATGGACAGGTACCAAAGATAAAGGTGGAACATGGCCTGTCGCGCCCGAAGTTCATTCGAATACCAGTGACGTCACATCGTCAGTCAGTGCCGTATGACCTTTCGTCGGCCCAAAAGAGGCCGTAAAATCTCATGACCAGCGACACGCACGGTCGAATGCCAGTGACGTCACATCGCTAGCTGATGCTTTATGGCCTTCAGTTGGCCGCAAAAATCCGCCAATACTTGCAGCAGACATGTACGAAAGGTATAAATGGAGCATGACCTGTTGGCTGATGTTCAGCCAAATACCAGTGACGTCATATCGCCAGCTGATGCCTTACGGCATTTCGTCGGTCCTAGAGGACACGTGGAAACCCACGACCATTGACGTCTTACAATCGGTCGTATAGCAGTGACGTCGTTAGCTGACACCTTGTGGTCTTCAGTTGGCCGAAAGGCACCGGTGAAACTCGTGACCAGTGACGTCACACACTCAGGTGGTTCGGCAGCTTTCATCCAGCACGCCAATGCTTGCAGTAGTCAGATACAAAGGTAAAAATAAAGCACGGGCCTGTTGCGCTCAGTATTTATTCGAATACCAGTGGCGTCACGCTATCCGGTGATACTTCGTAGACCATGACACACCGTGGTCGTGGGGCCTAAGTGCACCCGTATGAAGTGATGATTAGGGACGTCACACATTGAGGTGATTCGGTCAAACCTTTATGCGGCACGCAAATGCTTGCAGCAGTCAGGTACGAAAAGTAAAGATGGAACGAGGCCGGTCGCCGAGGTCGGTCGAGGCCTGATGTTTAATCGAATAACAGTGACGACACTGGCCAGCTGATGCATTACGGCATTCGGTGGACCCAAAAGAGCCTTGCAAACTCACGACCCGTGACGTCACATACCCAGCCGAATACCAGTGACATGTCACATTCAAAAAGCCTTATGGCCTTCAGTCGGCCCGAAAGGACCCCCATCCCGATCGATGCAAAACCATTTTCAGTGACGTCACAATGTCAGCCGATGCCTCACAGCTTTTCCCCCGGACGACAATACTCGAAACCCTGCAGCTAGCGTAGCTCTTCCCTCCGTCGGCCATACAGGTACCAAAGTAAAAAATTACCGAAAAAGGCAGGGTCCCCGTACCGCTGAGGGCGACAATGGAACACTTTCATAGTCCGTGAAAAACGAAATTATAAATTTTATCCAGTATTGTCAGGACTACTTTGTTGTTTAAGTACCATCCCGCTGGTGACAGATAGAGAAGGGGTGGGAGTTGTGGGGTGAGTTCATGGATGACTATCCATGGCTGCATGGGGACCCTTTCATTTATTGAAGCACTTGCATTATGCTTAGGCAATTGCCAATTTTCTGAAACATTGAAGCGGATACAGTAAAGCATATTTAATTATTAAGATATTTAGAAAGAAAATTTATAAAGCACTTTGTGTACTGAAATGTGGAGAAATTGTGTTGAAAAAATGCCAGAATCACTTTGTAGTGCTTGTTGTACTGAATGGGTATTTAATATTTCCACCAAGGTTGTTGGCATTGGGAAATGGGAGGTTTTCATCTAAATTTGAAGAAGATCCTGGAAGTAGTGAGAAGGATTAGGTGTCTGTGGTGTGAGTGTTTCCTCTAACTATGTTTGCTTGCCAGGAATAATGCTTCCTCTACATCTGAATGCATTAGCTCAAACATTGAAATACCAGTGCAGGTAATTATTGTTACAGATAGTTCTTTCATCTGCATTGATCAGGCAAAATATTTGTGCTTTTTTTGCAAGCATGTGTTTGGTTCAACATTTAGAGCAAGGCATGCATAACATTTTGAGATTCAAAGCCTGGTATAGGCACATGTCAGTGTATCAAGGGTCAGGTTTGACTTTGGAGGTCCACATGAATTTGAGTAGATGGAAATAATTTCAGCAAAGTCTCACTAAAGCAATGAAATAAAGGTATATGGGTAACTTGGTCTGATGCAGGCCTGACACACATTGATATAGGTTATTATACTCAGTATTACAATAGTTTATTGGTAGGGAAGATGAACCCTGGTAGAATTAAATGAAGTTGAGTGCATGATGCTGATATTCAGCTCTTCAAGATTTGGTACCATTTTATTTAAGGTTTGATTGCCATGCCTCACATCCTCTCTTTTAGGAACCAAAGATTTTGAGAGATTCAGGTCAGCTTAAATCTGCTTAAGCTTTGTAAATCTGCACTCTCAGCCAAGGTGACAATATTCACAATGTTTGGTCATTTCTTGATCAGTTACAATCATACTGACACTTTTTGGTATTAGTTATAATCAGCTCACAGCCCAGTCAGGTAGTTATAATCAGCTCACATCCTAGTCAGGTAGTTGTGATCAGCTCAGAGCACAGTCAGGTGGTTATGATCAGCTCAGAGCACAGTTGGGTGGTTATGATCAGCTCAGAGTGCAGCCAGGTGGCTATGATCAGCTCAGAACATGGTCAGGTGGTGCTGTGTGCACTGGCGGATAAACTACAGCATGACGAGCAGGCATTGTCTGTATGCAGCTGATCTGGATAATTGTGCAATGCTCAACTGCTGCAGGCCCTTTCCTCTGGTAACACATTGCATTATTTGGATGGTAAAGGCAGTGCATACCAGGATAGTAGCAGTGATTGGCCAGTTGAGCATAGAGGGACAAATGGTAAAATTAACAATTATCAGGGGTGCAGGTAGTGAAGTGGTTAACACGCGTGTTGACCACTGTGTGTCTGGGATACCAAGAGATATGGGGTTTGATTTTCTGCAGTGCCCGCCCTTCGTGCCAGGGTGAGAGGCAGGTGATGCCATATAGCCTTAACAGCTGAGTATGTTGTTAACCCCCAAGGACACATACACACATAAACAATCATCTGTGGGAGAAGGAGTAAACATGATTAAGTACAGCATAACCATCATAAACTTGTTAGGGACAGCAGCCATCTGGAGCAGTGTTTCATTTTCTCGGTGTGGGTTGTTTGTTGGTTCATAATCCTGTCTGATGTGAATTAATAGGTGGTGGTTGTCACAGGGTTGAATTGCACACATACCATACTTTTTGTTGTCACTGCCATGTACCAGATCTAATCAGATCAGTTTTTATGATAAATATTGATGTTGTCTCTCATTTATAGTCTCATGGTATTTTATTTTATATACTTTATGATATATATGTAAACACTTTATGACTGATATAAACATTATATTTCATTTACAGTCTTATTGTGTGGAATTGTGTTGAAAATGCAGGATAATTTTATTGGTATTGCCACAAGTCAAGTGCGAAGCTTTATCACACAGAACAATGTCAAAAAGTGTCACTTGTTTTGAAAATGGCATCACAAAATGGTGTGCCTGACAAATCTGGAGATGAAAAACCTTAGCTCATATGACTATGGCAGTTGCATTCCCAGTTGGGTTCAGAGTTAGCTAAACATATGTTCACAATCAGTTATGCTGTAACTACAAATTCTTACATCAGAGTAAGTTTAGATTTGTACTGAGCTGGCATCATGTGCTCTTAGAATGTAACACATTCTCTGTAACCATGTGATAAAGGTAGATTTCTTGCAGTGCTCTATAAGCCAGTCTGACAAATAGGCCAGAGATAAACTATCATTCATAGTGAATGGGTTCTACCTGGGTGGCTTGTTCTTGGTATTAGTAGCAATCTCCACTAATCATTATGGTAAGATAAATCTTGCCATGCAAAATATTTTGAATCCACTTTATGCAAAAGGCAATGACTTGAACGCCATGAGCATGCATGTCTGGCTAATTGAGTAAGGCACTGACATGATACTGCCAGTGCCAGATTCTGCCAGTCACTTGTAAATGGCTTAGCCTGAGCAGTGACATGTGATCCAAATTCCTGTGAAATCGCCCAATATCTGGTGTAAATATCTTGGCTCAGGAGAAGGGCATGGCCCCAAGCCCTTCCCTTGCTATTTTTGTGCATCCTAGCGGGGTAGTGAGACTAGATCATATAAGCCAACGATAATCATTGGTATAAGCGTGTCCTACGGCAGTATAGAAATGGGAGTGCTCACTCGACACAATTGTGCTTTCAGCGTTTCTACAAGTAAATCGTGAACAATATGAACTACCGAACAGCAACAGGAAGACTGTAGACCAGATGAAACCTGAGCTGGCAGGGGGTATGTCAGTTGTTTTTACACTCTTCTGATCCTTTCCATTTGCTTCGCCGTAACGTGTGCTGCTACATACTTCTGATATGAACATGCAGGCAGCATTTGCCTTCGTCTTGTAGTTCGTCTTGTGCGTCCCTGATACATCACCAAGTTGGGCCCGCAGAATTTCAGCTCTTCCTTTTCTTCGTAAAGGGACATTAGACCTTGGCACTAGACAACCATGTCTGATAAGAAGTTTTGCATCGAGTATGCAAAGAGGGGCACAGCTGGTGTAAGAAGTGCAAGGTAAAAATAGACAAAGGTCTTCTCAGGATAGCGAAGCTTGTCTCGAACCCATTCTCCGATAATGGTGGCGACATGAAACAGTGGTTTCATTCAAACTGCATATTTGAAACATTCGCGCGGGCAAGAGCGAGCACCAAAATAATCGAAGAGGTTGATGATCTGGATGGCTGGGATGCCATAGAATCGGGGGATCGGAAGAAGGTGCTGGATCTCATCGAAAGTGCTAATGAAAATCGCCCCAGCAAAGCCAACCACGCCGAAAAAGGTCACCAAGCAGCAGCAACTACCTACTGGTAGTGATTCATCGGCAGCAGCTAGCAGCAGCTCCGTCCCGAGCTCGTCTGGAAAATCTGAGGTTGAGGGACACCACTGATCCTGGCCACAGGGACAATGCGTTCCGTCAGTTCCGCCAGATCTGCGCTAAGTGTTGCGGACGAGCCAAGCTACAAGAAAAGTCTGAAATTATCAGTGATTTCTTCACAAATGGCACCGGCGGGGATGGCTTCAAGGGAAACCTCCTGCTGTGGACGCGCCTTCTGCTACCGGGGGTGGTGAAGCGAGTGTACAATCTGCAGAGTAAGCAACTGGCCAAACTATTCAGCCAGCTATTCGAGGTTAGTCTGGAGGAGATGGTCGAGGATCTCGAGCAGGGAGACGTGGCGGAGACGGTCCGTGTATTTTTTGAGCAGGTCCAACGCCCTGCGAACCCGCGAAAAAGGCTTCACCTGTCCATTCAGGAGGTTAACAAGTATCTTGATGAGCTATCGCGTCTGACTAAAGAGAGGAGCAGCAAAATCTTCTCAAGAAAAGTCGCCAAACGGTGTACTGCCAACGACTTGAAGATCTTCGTGCGTCTCATCAAAGGTGACTTGCGCATTAATGCCGGAGCCAAGCACATTCTGGACGGGATACAACCCAGACGCATACCAGGCCTTCCAGGCTTCCAGGGATCTGGAGGACGTGCTTTCGCGCGTGCAAGGCCATCGGCGGGCCGGTAAGGTAGGCTCGCTGGAGATCGGCATATCACTGATGACCCCAGTGCTGCCTATGCTGGCAGAAGCCTGTAAGAGTGTGGAGTACGCGATGAAAAAGTGCCCAAACGGCATGCTGGCGGAGATCAAGTACGATGGGGAGAGGGTGCAGCTGCACAAACAAGACAAGACGTTCGCTTACTTCTCTCGCTCACTTAAGCCCGTCCTGCCGCACAAGGTAAAGCAGTTCAGGGAATTCATCCCCAAGGCGTTTCCACACGGCGAAGACATCATTTTGGATGCCGAAGTACTCCTGATTGACACTACCACGGGAAAACCTCTGCCTTTCGGCACGCTAGGCGTCCACAAAAAGTCTGCGTTCAAAGATGCGAACGTATGCCTATTTGTGTTCGACTGCCTGCACCTGAACGGCGAAAATTTGATGACTAAAACGATCCTGGAACGTCGGAAGATCCTGGAGAAAGCACATGACGGAGATCCCGAACCGGATCATGTTCTCCGAGATGAAGCGCGTGGACAAGTCGTCGGAGCTCTCGGAGATGATCGCGTCGTGATCCGCCAGGGTCTGGAGGGTCTGGTCCTGAAGGACACGCGCAGCGTGTACGACCCGGCAAGCGGCACTGGCTGAAGGTGAAGAAAGACTACCTGGGCGACGGCCAGGCGGCGGACTTCCGCCGACCTGGTGGTGCTCGGCGCGTGGTTCGGCACCGGCAACAAGGGCGGCATGATGTCGGTGTTCCTGATGGGCTGCTTTGATGGCAGCCGCTGGCGCACGGTGACCAAGGCGCACAGCGGCCACGACGATGCCACGTTGGACCGGCTGCAGAAGGAGCTGTCGGTTGTCAAGATCAGCAAGGACCCCAGCAAGGTGCCCAGTGGTTGAATTGCACCAAGACCATGATCCCTGACTTCGTGGTCAAGGATCCTAAGGCATCGCCGGTGTGGGAGATCACCGGGGCAGAGTTCACCAAGCACGATGTTCACACTGCGCACGGTATATCCATCCGCTTCCCGCGCGTCACGAAAATTCGCGACGACAAACCTGGGAGACGGCCACATCTCTCAAGGAGCTGTTACAGCTGTATCGAGAACTCCAAGCAGGTGTTCGACGACAGCGCCTCATCGGCGAGCGTCTCCCCCACCAAGCGACCTGCCAGTGAGAACGAGTCGAGCCCCGCGGGGGTCGCGGTCCCCGACACGGACGTACCGCCGCCGACGAAGCGGCGCCGGCCGAGTTCGCCATCAGCCGACGGCGCGCGCGGAGCCGCCGGGACGTCGACCGGCGGCGTCGGCCGGGCGCCGGCCGAGAGGCGGGGCGGCAGGACGGCCGCCGCGCTGCCGGCCACGCTTCGGCCCGTCCTAGCTGTGCTGTCGCCGCGGCTGGCAGAGGACGAGCGCCTGCGGCGATACATCGTGGCCTATGACGGCGAGCTGCTGGCGGCTGAGCAGCTGGCGCTGGCCACCCACTACGTGGCGGAGCCGAGCGAGCTGGCGCCGGCCGAGGCGCGGCGCCGGGGCGTCGCCGTCGTCACGGCCGACTGGGTCTGGGACGCCATCAAACTCGGCCGCCTGCCGCCCACCCTGCCGTACGCCCCCTAGTCAGGCCGGCACGCCGCCCGCACCGTCAGGCTGGGGGGCCCCCACTTGTTAGCAGTATTCGCTCCGCGCTCGTCGGCTGTCGGGTTTTCGGCAGGCGTCAGCGCTGCGTGGACGGCAGCTGGGCTCCCGTCATGTTTCCTATCGCTTTGCTTGGTTAAGCACTGATAGTGTTGTTTAAAGATGTGGCAGATGCCTGTTTCCACGAACTCATGCGAGTCGAATCGGATCGGGTGTAAGTGGCCTTGTCGGCGTTTTGCACATGAACGCAGGTTTGTTTCTGATCTGTTTGTCTCGTGTTACGCTTCGGGAGTATTTATACCTGCGTCTTTGCGCAGCAATCCACTTGCGTGGCCTCACGCTACTTGATCACAAAATAAAAGATTCAAGCCTATGCAGCCTTTTTACTCAGACTTTTGGCGAATCGTCTGAGGAGTGCGCCCGATGATAAAGCCTTGTGAAGATTACAACTCTTTTTTCACGGATGATTGAATTGCGATCTGCGTATCGGTCAGTCAAATACAGTTGATTAGTGGTCAATCCTTAACAAAACGGCTGACGTCCTGCATGTTCAGGAAGTGCACGTATCAGTGGGAAATTGCACATTGGCTATTGCCGGCACGACCAGAAAAATCGTGATGGTATAGAGAAGCTTTTCAAAACGGTTTCTGGAGACCAATATTGCGGCTCCTGCGCCTGGTCCTCGACCGTAACGTTAAAGACTAGAACATTGCTGTAATAGAAGTATTGCATTCTGGTTACTCACGTCCCATAAGGTTTGTGCTAAGCCCGAAGCTTTGCAGAAGTGTTACCGCTTAAAGGAAACGTTCCCAGCAAAAATCATTGCATCAAATTAATCAGAGTATCTCGGAACTGACCGCATCGCTCAACGCGATCCGTCCTGACTGACGTCACCCGACATAAAGCGCAGCCGTTACCAAATATATATATATATATATATATATATATATATATATATATATATATATATATATGCATATATTCTTATTATTTCAGTTTTTAATTACTCTGCATGCATAGGGTGTAGGGTAGACCATGATGTGTCAAGGGCAAACAGCGAGCGCCTGGACCGACTTGAAACCCACCCTCCATGGGCGGGTGGATCAGAAGCCAGGCGCTCCAACCCAACTGAGCTATGGTGATTCGCGGTGTTCCCGGTTGTGCATTGTGGTGTTAGTGATCCCGGTGTCCTTCTACAGCATTCACCTAAGTCATTTGAAGCAAGTTATGACGGTTGGCTCGTCGGATTGGCCAAAATTCGCTCAAATCAAGCTTGTGCATGTCGTATGCCACTAAATATATTTCCAATGTATAATGTGAGGTCGCCCCGCAACATAGCGTAGCCTTCAGCCGCCCATGACCGGATTGCAGGGGTTAGGCAAAGTGATGATACTGTGGACTGCCGGATATCTACTGAAGTCAGTGGTGGACTAAGCCGGGACCTGACATGCCTCAGTCATTTCCCTCATACAGTGGTCTTTTGGATAAGTTAACTGAAACTCCGAAATTTGGCTTCATCGTGCCCCTAGCCGCAGGTGACTTTTGGAGAGGTCGCTGCGGGCCGCCAACAGCTAGACGGTTCGGGGATAACCGCCGATAAAAGCAGGAAAACTTCATCGCGCCATATCCTGGTGAGATCCAACATCAACTTGTCAATTAGAGCGAAAATGCACGCTCCGTTGGTAGAGCTCCGTATCTCTCAGAGAGGTCATGATCTCTCCCACTGCTGAGTCGGGCCCGAGTAACTGCTTCAGCCCCAACACTAGAAGCAATCGAATGTGGATGGTCCAGAAACAAAAGGTGGAGCTCGTCTGGTCAAAATTCGTATTTTAGGCCCATAACACTTCTGAACGAAATGCTCAACACGTGGAACGGCCCCACTCCGTGAAAGCTAGCTGTATATTCAGTTTCGTTTCTGCCACGCATACCGCTTCTCGCACCGCGCATTAGCGACGCGGATTCGGGCTCGAAACTGGCTGCACTACATCCGTGCGGGCCTAGACACTTGTCCGACAGTCTAATACAGATACAATTCAGACTGGTGTTGGCAGTAGGACCAGCTCCCGGGATTTTATACTGAGCAACATTCCTCGTCACGTTGGGACCGAGCATCTTTAATCACACAATGTGAAATAATTTTGATTTCGCCAAAGTTTGTGCGTCCGCTACGACACGCGCCATGACGTCTCATTTTCCGGTCACGCTCTTCAGTACTGCTGGGGATGACCGGACCGAATGTGGGTACTATTGCACCAAGTTTTTGCGTCCCTGGTGCAGACGTGTATGAATGGTATAATTATGGGCATATCAGGTGTATCCACCTCGCCGGACGATAAGAGAGTGGCGGCGCCGGCCATTATACATCGGCATATGTTGGGCGAAGCACGCAGTCCACGGTTCTATCCACTGCGGTCTGCGGATCACATCAAACTACAATGGAGAGCATAGCAACCGAACACGACAGACGTCGCTGTTGAGGCCGGGCGCTTGCAGAAGGGCTTGTGCCCCCAGGTGAGTCCGCAGTGCCGGCATGAACGGCGTCCGCCGGTGCAGCGGCGATCGGACGGCACCTTCCAGCTGTGGGACAGTACCTACCAACTGTGGGACAGTACATCCCAACTGTGGGACAGTACCTCCCAACTGTGGGACAGTACCTCCCAACTGTGGGACAGGACCTCCCATATGGGACTGAGAACGGCTTCCGCTGGGGCGGCGGCCATGGGATGGCACCTCCCAGTTGTGGGACAGCACCTCCCAGTTGTGGGACAGCACCTCCCAGCCGTGCGACAACCTCTCCCAGCCGTGGGACAGTGCCTTCCAGCCGTGGGACAGTGCCTTGCCTGACAGCCTTCCAGCATGACAGTCCTTCCCAGCCGTGTGACGGCCGGCGGCGTGAGACGCCATGAACAGGACCCCAAATGTTGACAATACGCCACGTGGCCACCTGGTGGAGCCGGCTGCAGGGACCATTGAACAGCGGGCGGCACGCAACAGACTGAAGAAGCATTCTGTGACGATCGAAGTGGTGAACTAGCGGATGGGTTGGATGAATGAACCGTACAGCTGCTTTTATGACGTGTGCAGACTGAGGGGCGGCAATACTACAAACCTGGAATTGCACCGATTTGCCGCCAATCGTGGGTATATTTGAGATAAGGGCGAGTACTTGTCCTCGCTACCGCCATCTCGAAAATGCGGTGAGCGGCCTTCGATCGTTTACTTCCTCAAACAGTGCCGCTATTTTCCCACATTTAGCGAGATCACGAACTCTATGATACAACAGACCGCGCGCCGCCAGTGCGTGCACCCGCTGGGCAGCACCCGTCCCGCTGTTGTCGGTACATCGGCACCTGGTGGCCAGTCCCAAGAGCCGTGTCTCGTTGCCCGCCAGTTTGTATGTTTGCGATATCAACGCCGCGCGCCCACCCGGCGCCACCATCATCGCCAGATCCGCGCCACGTCAGCGGACCGCCTCGACCTCAGCGCGGCTCGACTTGCGTTGCAGGCGCGCCGGCGGTGCGGCCGCCGGGCAGCGCGGGCCGCACCTTCCTCTCGGACCGCTCGCTCGAGCTGTGGCGGGACCCGGTGGGCTTCATCGCGCGCGGCCTGCAGGAGCACGGCGGCCGGGCCTTCACCACGCGCCTGCTGCTGCGACCCACCGTTGTCCTGGGCGACAACACGGCCGTCCGACACCTGCTGGCCGGTCAGTGGTCTTGTCGGTGATATAGCACGGCCGGCCGGCTGCCGGCCCGACGGCCGGTCGGCCATATGACGGGCTGTCCGAGACGGACTCAGGGGCGTACGTAGCCGGGGTCACCGGACCAGTAGCATCACGTCACACACCATATACTTGTGTACCGATGAACCGTCCTAATATATACGTGTGAACATATCTGAAATCGAATCCGGAATCGAACCCAATTCCTCTTGAGTCCAGCAGCAGTCTGCTGAGCACCCCGGGCGCAGTAGGGACACAATCCCATGTGAGAACATTACTGCGCTTCACCGTCTCAACTGAGCTTGTTCTCTGAACCTGTTCGGCGAATGGGAGCGCGAGGTGTCTGTGTGTACCGGACGTCGTGTTAATCAGCGCGATTTGCTTTCCAGACCCCGACACGTTCCAGTGTGGTCTAAGAGACCTTTTCCTGCCGCTGTTTGGTGAGAATCTCGTCTTTATGGACGGGCAGGAGGCGGAAAGCACACGCGCAAGACTCCATGGACTGTTCAATGCGGAAACGGCATCAAACTACAAGGTCAGGCAGCTCCCCCCACCCTCCCTCATCGCACTCACACAGCGTTCGGGTTTGGCGAGGTGTTCCACGTGTCCGACACTGACTCTGGGCCCGCCCCAACATTCATACGCAATGGCTGAACGCCTGACCATGACAGCGAGAGCCTCGCCGGTGAAAGGTGTCGCGCTGGACGGTGCCGGTGGGTTTGTGCGCGGCCCTGCGGATCTGTGATGGGTCGGGCGGCGCGGCGCTGGTGGGACCGTGCTGACCGGCGCTGGCCGACACCGCAGGCGATCAGCGGCCGTGTGATCCAGGGCTGGGCGGAGGAGCTGGCTACCGACGCGCCGCTCAACCTGTACGCCGCCTTCAAACGGCTGGCCATGGATCTGAACCTGGCCGTGTTCCTGGGCCTGGAGCGGGCCGAGCGGCCCGAGCAGGTCACGGCCGTCACCGAGGTGGCCACCACACACTGGCACGGTAACCACCGCCCGCTAACACGGCATCATCATTCGCTGGGACGGCAGCTACCCACTGACGCTGTGACCAGCACCCACTGACGCGATGACTGCTGCCAACTAGCTCAGCAACTGCAGACGACGAGCACTGGCACAGTAAACGCCAGCCATTGCGGGGTACGGTGACCACCATCCACTGGCTCTGGTACGGTAACTACCACCTACTGATACGATAACCAGTACCACCACGCGCAGTGACGGCAGGCACTTCCCACTGGTACAGGCCGGCAGACCCCATTTACGTATAAGGTGACGGCAGACACTGGACATCTTCGTGGTAGCCACCACCGACTGGCGCAGTTACGGTAGACACCACACACCGTCCAGGTAACGGCTACACCGTCTGATGCCACGTCAAGAGAAGAGACCACGTACTAACGTTGCAACGGCAAGACAG